TATGGACGTCTTAATTATAAGTAAAAATGTTCATAAGTTAAAAACCATCGTTCATATAGTTGTCCATTAAATTATGAGAAAGTCTAAGGTATGTCCATAAAATTTCGATGATGTACAAGATTAAGTATCTGTTACACTCTGTAAAATAGGCGTCCAAAATTCCTATAGATATCTAACTGCTCAGCTTGAACATTCTAGCAATGTGTAATGAAGTAGACAGGATTGCCTTTTGCATTTGGCGCATAATTGATTCACAGATCTTTTATATTATGCTCAACCTCTTCCGAACGGATTGACCTTGTACTCACGAAATCGGTTCGTCAGGTCTGGTCTCAGTTGACTGTACTTCCTTGTCTTCTCGAAATCTTTTAATTCTCTATTTTCCAACCATGGACAGCTCATTTCATCACTTTGACTTGCTTGCTGGTCTTGTCAAGGATCGTTGCATCCTGAATGTGCTCACATTCTCCAGGGAATCCTCGCATTAGGTGGCATTTTTCTTCAGTAACTTGGGATTTTGTTTTTCTGTTGTAGTAGACCTTGGTAAAGCTCTGGTACTCCAGCGATGGTATGCGTTATGGCATTCTTCCATGAAGAAAGCCACTCAAAGCACTCCTCTAGTTTAACTTTCTCGTCGTCTCATCTGTTCTTGATAAGCCTTCCTTGCCATCTCTCCTCAGATACCGTTGATTGTATCTCCTGCTGGGGGGCTTTGTAGATTGCCTGCTTTACCTTCTTAGCTTCGACTTCTTTACCATCGGCGACAGCAACTAGGTTAGGGAAGTTTAACCACAACTGTAGATCCAGCTCCTCTGCGTACTTCTTAGCGTTTTCAATGATGGAGTGGCGCCCATTCTGTACGGCTAGCTTTTCAAACGATCTTACGGCTGCTATCGTAGGGTCAGCGTTCCAATAAAGCTTTAGTGCTGCTTTGATCTTAGTGTTCTTGTATTCATTCTCCACGGACTTGAGACCTCAGTCTTCTACAGAGCTTCCTAGACATGTAAAGTATCGCTGTCGATCCCTTGGGGTGAGTTCCTCCATTCTCCACGATGATCTTTCTTCCCTCTTGGTCAAGCTGTTGGATGTTTGGTATCGGCCAAGCTTGTATCCAAATCAAGTATGTAAGTACTGGTAAAACCGACTGATTAGACGCCACTACCTTTGCATGATTTGACGATAGGCTGGACCAGATGATTGATAGCCTACTTGCTTATACTCTTGCTTGGTGCTTTCGAAGACGCCTAGGAACTTATAGGTGTTATGTCGGTCCATGATCTTGATAGGTTTAAGATCAGCTATCTTCATATCTCCACTTCCTTGCTGGACGTGTCCCCTCTTCAGCTGTATCACTGTACTCTTCTTGTCGTTCCACTTCAAACCGGTGCTTTCCATTCCATTCTTTGCGACTGTCATGACTCGTTTCAGAAGCAGCAAACAAATTCATGTCGTCGATGTGTAGTTGGTTGATATAGGCTTAGATAGCCTGTATCCCTTAGTTGCCCGTACCTTTCATGCGATTGGATTCAAGCACAATATGAACAGCATAGGACAGAGCGCATCACCTTGGGGCAGTCCTTTCTTAAAACGTATTGTAGGAGAGATCTCTTCGCGTTGGGTCGTTTGGGCAACAATTCTAGCATTCTAGCTGTTAGCAAGCTTCTCCATCACCTTAGCAAACCATGTGGGCAACCCGTGTAGGGTGAACATTTCAGATAACCAACCATGATCAACAGAATCATACGCCTTAGCCACATCAATCCATACCATGCTGAGATTTCGCTTTTCTCCCTGAGCATCCTCACAAACCATCCGATCGATAAGTAAATTGTCAACCGTTCCACTGCAGTTGTCCCTTGCACCACGCTGCTCACGTACAGGCATGAGGTGTAACACCTATACATGTTATTCAGGAAGGTAATAGGGCGTTGGTTGTCACTTCTGAACTCACCAGGTTTGGGGATCAGAGTTGTCTTGCCTTCCGAAAACCATAGGGGAAACTGAAGATCTTTAAGTTGAGTAGTGGCCTGGAAACAAGTGGCTATTTCTTTACGCAAGGAACAAAGGAGACTTTTGTCTGATTGGCTGTTTGATTTTGTAGTGTTCAGTCTCCTCGCCGCGCGCTGGTGAGTGAACAAAGATGGCTGCCAAAGCCAAGTTCTCCTTCGATCGTTCATTTAAAGATGGCATGTAAAGGTTTACAAAGTGTGATGTCTTTCTCTTAGCCAATAGTACTTATAGGGGGCGTTGACAAGAATTTTTTATATGCGTATATTGCTGAGTGCGTTGCCAAAAGAACTCATCTAAAGCAAAGTACATCGGCTGGGATGGGAAATGTTTAATTTACAAAATGCTACAATAGAGTCTTTTTCGGAGGAGGAAACGTATTTTCAACTTCACTGAAACGTCTTGCCGACCCGGAGAAAACGGAGAAAGGTAAGCTTATTGTTTTTAAGTGGTATGTTTTATCACTCAAACTGTGTACAACGTCTTGATCTTCAATTATTTAGATGTTGTTTAGTTTTATATAAGCTTAGGCTTAGTTTTTCTGTTTCTTGCCAGATTGTGAATTTCTGATTCTACTGCCTATTAATGACGGAGTGATGCATTTAGCGACTCGGAGACCTCCTTATTTTTTAACACCTTGTTACCTGTTTACAACAAAACTAGGGAAGAACTGGAGTCGGTAAACGTCTGGGTGCTTTCCTAACGGATGCGGTTCACTGTAATAAATTTATAATAAATGCTAAAGGGGGGACCCACCATATACATGTACTTGACTTAATCACTTTTTTGCTGGTTATTTAATACATGTAAATGTAGTCCATAGTATAAGCAAACACTACATCTACATCTACAACTAAAGGGAAAGCAATAATAGTCTATTTCACAGTTACAGTCGAGGCTGGAGTTGACCTTGTTTTGATA